TTGTTTTGTGGTGCATTTATTATATTATGTAGTGCATTTATTATATTATGTAGTGCATTTACCTTGTTATATAGTGCATTTACCATGTTATATAGTGCATTTACCATGTTATATAGTGCATTTACCTTGTTATGTGATGCATTTATTATATTATGCAGTGCATTTACCATGTTATATAGTGCATTTACCTTGTTATGTGGTGCATTTACCATGTTATGTGGTGCATTTATTATATTATGTAGTGCATTTACCATGTTATATATTGCATTTACCTTGTTATGTAGTGCATTTACCTTGTTATGTGGTGCATTTATTATATTATGTAGTGCATTTACCATGTTATATAGTGCATTTACCTTGTTATGTGGTGCATTTATTATATTATGTAGTGCATTTATTATATTATGTAGTGCATTTACCATGTTATATAGTGCATTTACCTTGTTATGTGGTGCATTTATTATATTATGTAGTGCATTTATTATATTATGTAGTGCATTTAACTTGTTATGTGGTGCATTTATTATATTATGTAGTGCATTTACCATGTTATATAGTGCATTTACCTTGTTATGTGGTGCATTTATTATATTATGTAGTGCATTTACCATGTTATATAGTGCATTTACCTTGTTATGTGGTGCATTTATTATATTATGTAGTGCATTTACCATGTTATATAGTGTATTTACCTTGTTATGTGGTGCATTTATTATATTATGTAGTGCATTTATTATATTATGTAGTGCATTTACCATGTTATATAGTGCATTTACCTTGTTATGTGGTGCATTTATTATATTATGTAGTGCATTTACCTTGTTATGTGGTGCATTTATTATATTATGTAGAGCATTTATTATATTATGTAGTGCATTTAACTTGTTATGTGGTGCATTTATTATATTATGTAGTGCATTTACCATGTTATATAGTGCATTTACCTTGTTATGTAGTGCATTTACCATGTTATATAGTGCATTTACCATGTTATATAGTGCATTTACCATGTTATATAGTGCATTTACCTTGTTATGTGGTGCATTTATTATATTATGTAGTGCATTTATTATATTATGTAGTACATTTAACTTGTTATGTGGTGCATTTATTATATTATGTAGTGCATTTACCATGTTATATAGTGCATTTACCTTGTTATATAGTGCATTTACCTTGTTATGTAGTGCATTTACCATATTATGTAGTGAATTTACCATGTCATGTAGTGTATTTATCTTGCTATGTTGGGCATTTATTATGTTATGTAGTGCATTTACCCTGTCATGTAGTGTATTAATCATGTTATGTAGTGCATTCACCATGTCATGTAGTGTATTTATCTTGCTATGTTGGGCATTTATCATGTTATGTAGTGCATTTACCATATTATGTAGTGCGTTTACCATGTCATGTAGTGTATTTATCTTGCTACTTTGGGCATTTATCATGTTATTTAGTGCATTTACCATATTATGTAGCGCATTTACCATGTCATGTAGTGTATTTACCATGTCATGTAGTGTATTTACCATGTCATGTAGTGTATTTATCATGTTATGTAGTGCATTTAGCATGTTATGTGGCGCATTTATCATATTATGTAGTGTATTTATCATAATATGTAGAACATTTGTCATATTATTTAATGCATTTACCATAGTATGTAGGGCATTCATCATAGTAACATAACACATTGGGCACATTAGAGGTGTACTAAGCAGCTTCATCATTCAACAAAGAATTGGGACACAATAGTAGAGTGACCTTTAAATTAGTTTTGAGGGATGTGGAATATAGTCCATGGAATAGGACCAAAATAGGAACTTTAGCTGCCACCCCTGGTTACTTTTGTTTTATGGTTTTATTTGATGGATATACCCTTCTAGTTCATGAATTAACTTGTTGTCGTATTTCCATGACAACACACATTTGTTTGTTTTTGGTAAACAAATATAAGGAAAACCCATTCAAATATATAGATTTATTGTATCATAATTAGGTTATGAACAGTAGAAATGAATTGTTTATTTTTTATCAAAATATATACTAGTATGATTACCACGGCAACAAAGTCACATTGACAAAAAATATTTTTTTTATCGCAAATAACAGCATAAAACAAATTATATACTTATAATCGCTAATATTTTTGTCATAACATGTATGGACTTTTACCAGACCGAGGCTCCAAACGGAGCCGCTATTTCCCGTTAATCTACGAGGAGGGGTAGTATAACTATCAGTTAAAGTTATCCAGTTATGTCTATATGTGTGTCTCTGATATATATAATGCCACTTATGACGTCATATGATTACTTAGTGTTGTCATGATGATCCGACCTTCTGTCAAGATGACAACAAGAGGAAATATAAACTAGAAGGGTGTGTCTATAAAATAAAACCATAAAACAAAAGTAACCAAGGTATGGCAGCTAAATATGGAATTGTGCACGGAAAGTTCAATATATTAAATATTCGCCAGTGTGATTCCCACGAGGCCATTTCCAGTTTACTTCAGTGTGGATTAGTTTGTAACCAGACTACCATTTACGAAAATACTGAAATCAATTTAAATCAAATAATTGTGAAGAAATCTGTACTTTAGTCAGTCTATTATTTGACCTGTACAAACTGACTGAAAGTTGAAAAGCAACAGTTCTAAATCACAAATTTTGCATCTTGAACATTTGGATATACTCTAAAAGCTATATAGAAAGTTTTTAAATATTTGGTGAAATATGGAATAATGAAACATGAAAAATGTTCTTAGTTTACTTTAATTTTAATGCAGAAC